TCTTTCTTTCTTTCTTTCTTTCTTTCTTTCTTTCTTTCTTTCTTTCTTTCTTTCTTTCTTTTTCTTTCTCTCTCTCTCTCTCTCTCTCTCTCTCTCTTTCTTATTTATTTTCTCTTTTCTATCATCTATCTATCATGTATATCTGGCCTTTATTATTTTTATAGATAACTCAAGTCAGCAAATACATACAGTGCTCCATCCTCCTCCTCCTATTTTCCACACAACAACCCTGTAATGCAGGTTTATGCTGACAGAGAATGAATGGCCCTAAGTCACCCACCCAGCTTTCATTCTAAGGTGGGACTAGAACTCACAGTCTCCTGGTTTCTTGCCCGATGCCTTAACCACTACACAGATTGTACTGCCCAAAAGAGATACAACTGAGGACTACAGTTACAGAGTCCATAGATATGGAAGGATCTGGATGCTTTCCAGATACTAGGTATGATCTGAGTCTGCAAGTAAAATAAGATCCACATTAACTCTCAAAAACATTTTCCCAGAAGAAAATATCCAGATGGTTTCTGACCCACAAACCTAAATTATGTCAAAGAATCAACGTTACTGTTTTTCTTTCAGATTTTTTTTATTTTTTAATTCTATTTATGTCCTTATAAATATGTTCTTATTTTCTACCCACAGATTATTTTGACTCAATACTGACATCAGCCCTCATTCAGTCAGTCACATTAACCAGCTAACTTTGGAAACTGGAAACAGATGGATTCCACATGGAATTATTAGTTGATGACCCAGTCACAACATGTATAGTTCCAAACTACAATAATTCACCAATAGAATGGGAGGGTTACAATAATAGAGCTGCTCCATAATAAATGTCTTCCAAATTGTAACATGTTCTGGATTAGAAAATGAAATATTAATTTCAAGAATTTTACAAATGTTATTAATTGGAAAATCAATTTATTTGTGCATTTGTGACATTTCAGTAGGGATCTTGATAGAACATTATTTCTATCAGTATTTCACAAAAGCATTAATGAGCTATATAAAGGGTGATGTACAGACGTTCAAATTCTACAAAACATTGTGTCAGCGGTATATTTATTACCACTTGTAGAAGAAGTAAACAGTTTTTTTTAGCCTCCTGCCTTTCTATAAAGATGAATGCTTGGGATAAAGTCACACAGAGAAAAAGGATACCCTTATGTTCAAGAGCTGTAGCCAATATTCAATTATGGAAATATAAATAGAGCTGCCAAAGACCTCAATTATGCTTATGATGTTGACGCAATAAAGAAGTACTAAAATAGCCAATGATTCTTATTCTAATAGATGGCAGGCCAAGATATTTTGCTGCCTGAGATGTAGCGCCAAAGCGTGCTTGCAACCACCTATGGACCTTAGCTAGCCATAGCACCTGAAGTCATCATTATTTTGGTACATGGACAGAAACCTCCATAAGTATCTTTCCCTTCTGCCATACCAGCAAAACATACAATAAAAAGAAACAAATCACTGCCCTTTTACCATCCATAACTCCATCTACCTGGGACAGCTGCCTGAGGAATCTATGGCATTCCAGATGTTAATGAATTACAACTCTCAAAAAGCCTAGGCACCCTGGCGAGTGATGCAACAATTGGAATTGCACTTCCAAACTCCTGAAGAGTCACTCTGGCCTGATAACAGAGCCTGGCTTTAAGGGCAAAACCTTTAAATATATTTTATGCTAAATATCTGTGAATAAGCATTCTCATGGGGTGTGACTTTTTCAACCTTCAAGTGTGCTAATCCAATCAAATCCTCACTTAAAACCTCTACAAAGATAATGAGGCCACCCTGCCGTGACCACAAGGGCTTCTTACTGGCCATTCCATTTAGAACTGGGCCAATTCAACCAATTAGGAAGCATTTAATGGGAAGGATCTCTACAGCAGTGAAGTCCTAAATCTCCCAAGGACTCTGCAAATAATGTTATTGGGAAAGCAGGCAATGAAGTGGAAGGGAAGAGTCAAATTCCTGGCATACAAAATTATTGGTTCAGCTGGACAGCGTGCACAGATGGGCATGAAATCACTATCATCTACAACATAATCATAAAAGCAAAACAAAAAACTACCTGGATTTCAAAAAATATAAACAATGAAAGACAGTTTCCTTAAATTTTGTCATTTGTTTCAGTACCAATGAGGAAAGATGCAAGCCAGTCTCACAGCACTGGGAGTAGATAAGAAAATAATTGTAACTACTGTGGGGCAGCAAAGTGACCTTATCTTCTCCGAGGAAGGCCCTTCCGAGGAAGAAGAAAACTATCAATGGGAGTTTACTCTACTTGGATTTGTTTGTTTACTTATTTATTTTTTAAAGAAGGGACATCAGAACAGGAGTGCCGGAAGGCGAAAGGCTCCCACTCCAAAGCAATCCCAAACCCCGTTTCTTCCACTTCGTCCACTCAGCTGCAGAACAGAAGTGACCCATAGCCCAACAATGTCCCAATGTTGCCGCTTTTTCAAGAGGCAACTGGAGTTTCTGGTTTTTTTTTTCTTTGAAGACGTTTCGCTTCTCATCCAAGAAGCTTCAGCTCAGAAGCGAAAACGTCTTCAAAGAAAACCCAGAAAGTCCAGTTGCCTCTTGAAAAAGCACCTTTGGGACAACCGTGACCTGGAGGACGGAGAATCTCCATAGGCATAGCCCAACAAGAGACTCGGACCTGGAGCGCACCCACTTGGGAAACGTAAAACCAAGCGGGCGGGAGAGCGTGAAAGGGGCAAAAACCGGTTAAGAAAAACAAAACAAACCAAGTCGAGAGTCGGCTGCCGTCCCCCTGGCCGAGAGGGAACTCGGAGGAGCGGAATCTCCTTACCTGTGACAGCCCTGAAGTCCCGCGAAAACAGAGCCCATAGTGCCGGCAACAGCAACAGGAGTCCCCGCATCTGCATAGTCTTCTTCATCTCCATCTCTTCCCCCTCATCATCTTTATCACCATCCTCCTTGCGACCTCCAAAGCGCTCGTCTCGCCTCGGACCCAAAAATTCAAAGTCGGGGAGGAAAGGAAGGCGAGGGAAAGGGGGAAAGGGAGACCGGGCGGGCGGCAAAGCAACAAGGGAGCGGGGAAAGGGGGAGGAAAACCAACGACGCCCCTTCCCTGAAAGAGAAGCTGGCGGTCCGCGCCCCCTCGCTCTGGGCACGAAAAGGGGCTCGGCGCCCACGCGTTCGCGCCCGGCAAGCCGGGAAAAGAAGAAGCGGCTGGAGATGGCAGCGCCAGGCACCCCACCAGCGCCGGCTCGGCCGGCGGCTCTGTTCCCTTTCCCTGAGCTTGTGGCCAACAAGTCGAGAAGGTCCCCCTCTGCCGGCCTCCTTCCCGCAGTGCACTGAGTTCATCGGGCCCGCCGAGCGAGTTGAGCTTGGCCCGGCGCGGAGCTCCCTCCTTCGGCCGCCGCGACTTCCTTCTCCAAGTCTTGGCAGCGGCTTCTTGCTTCTACCTCCAGGAAATGGCGCTTTCAGGAGGCCACAGCTCTCCTGCTCATGACATCACAGGCTTCATGAATATTAATCCGTCGACGGCTTATCCTATTGCTTTCCTGAACTTTGTTGTTTTATTCCCCTGCGAAGTGGAAAATAATAGGCCTGCGGCAGAATCAACGCGGTTTCTCTTTTTCAAGGAGCGGGGGGGGGGGTGCGACCTTTGTTTTCCCCCTGCGCGCAGGTTAGTCAGCGAGCCGCAGTTTCTACACAAGGAGCAGCTCATTCCAAATTAAAGAGGTCGTGATTTTGAAAAAGAGAGAGAAAGAGAGAGAGAGAGAGAGAAAACACAAGAAGGGTCTGTCAGACGCGAACAAATAAAGGACTACCCGTTACCAATCTTCATCCATAGAAGGACGCCAGTAGATCAATACTAATAAATAATGTTTACAGAGGCATACAACATCGATGTGGATTTAAAAATCCAAGAGTGAGAATTTAGTCTCTTCTTCCTTTTTCTCTTTTACAGAGTATACATTTTATGTTCAGTTTTTATCAGATATTCTTTGCAGGATGGAATCAAAGCATTAACATACAAATTCATTCATTCAGTTTATCCTAATCCCACTTCTCTTTTTGTCCTCTTTTGTTAATGTGACCAGTGAAATAAGTGAATGTGGGAAATTCTTCATTATGAATATTGTATAATATGTTCATAATGTATGGTTCCGATATTTTATTTATTTTGTGTAGCTAACTTCTTTGAACCCAATTTTGCCTTTTAAGTTAGGATGATTAAATATAGTTATTGGTCCAAAATTATTAAACTAAATGTGGACTTGGACCTAGTCTCCTTAGTCCTGTGTGACATCTTACCTAGTAATTAGGACCATCAACCAATCAACATGTTTAAATTGAGGAATCTGAGTTATAGTCTCTCGTGACTAGACCATCATAAAACTTACAAAATTTAGTTGGATGTTTATGGGAAGAAGTAAATTTACTTCTTGCTTGCTTGTACTGTAAAAATCTATGTAAGGTTGGCATGTTTGGATTACCCTGTCCAGTGGAAATACCTTAATCCAAATTGTCAGCACCTTTTACTGGAAATTAAAGCCAGTAGAGAAAAACAAGAATTTGGCTATCATGTTTTGGTTGCAAATTGGGTAGCAGAGAGATATGACTTCAGCAACAGAGTGGTCAATGTCTGGAATACTCTACCTAACTCTGTGATTTCTTCCCCAAACCCCAAAAACTTTAACCTTAGACTGTCTACTATTGACTTCACCCCTTTCCTAAGAGGTCTGTAGGGGGCGTGCATAAGTGCACCAATGTGCCTACCATCCCTGTCCTATTGTTTCTTTTATTTTTCTTATATGTATTCATATATTCATAACTATGTTTTTACTTATACCTATTATCTTGTAAGCAATTGAAAACCAAATAAAATAAAATAAAAATAAATAAGTAAAATGTAGTAACTCTTGCTTAACTGGTTGAAAACCAGAGAAAAGGGAGTGTGTAACTATGTATTCCCTAGTTCCCTGTGTATGGCTGGCCCAAGATATCTGACTGCCTAAGCTACGGCCAATTATTTTGACACAAAATATAAGAAAATATCAAAACAGCTTCTCATGGCAGTAATACCACAATAATAATAAATTGCATAACCATTTGCTGTTGCTTCACAGCTGTCCAAATATAGTGGGTCACATCACATTGCCCAAATTAGGGCCCTAAAGAGCTAAGTATCAATAGTATTAAAAACTTGATAATAAGAAATAACAAAACTCAATAAAATATGTAAATATTGGCAATGACAAATTCATTATCAGTCAATTGCAAAAGGCAGCTTTACTCAGAACAGCTTACATCCTGTGATACCTGTAAGACCATCAAATATCCACACCTGCCTATCCCAGGTCCTTGGGAAGGACTCAGTAGGTGGACAAAAATGCCAAATCCAGTCTGAACATCTATGGCTGAATGTGGATGAATAGTAATAATAATAAGGGAGACAATTCTTCTAAATATTGTAATCAATAAATAGTTGCCAAACTCTGTAAGAAAGCCATGCTTCCTTACAGCCATGGTGGTTTTAAAAAAAAACCACCAGGAATCTGATAGCATCTTTTCTAACTAACAAATTTAAGCTCACAAAAATCTGTTTAGCCAGAAAAGGTGCTATCAGCTTTTTTATCTTTTGCCAAACTCTATTGAGTTGGGTTGAGTGATGAAACTTGGTTGGGTAATGTAACCTATGCAAGAAAACAACCAAGCTCAGAGACTATCAAGGACTCCATACTTCAACCCCAAGTACAAATATTCTCTTCTATTGAAACTCTGTTGAATGTATTAATGCTTTTTTAAAAATCTCAGCTGTGTTGCAATGTTAAGCATGGAAGCGACCTCTCCAAATTCCAGCTATAACTTCCTCAGAGAAATGTTTATTACTTCCTTTGGCTACTTCCTTAGTATTTCCTTTATGGTGCATGATGATAGGTAGATAAGATTAAGTAGCTTTCAAGGTTGTAATTAGGTGTAAATAAAGAGGAAAATAATACAGAGTACTCTTAATATTTCCCCCCAGCTCCTGTAGGTTTCTTACTGCCTGTGTGCATGAAATGTTTAGCTGTGACTATTCTAATCATAATTCAGACTCTTTTCTGGTTTTGCATAAATACAACATTTGACTTGTTTCTGATTTGGTACAATTATTATTATTCTTTTAGTTTTTATCCTGATGAAGGGCTTTATTTAACTCTTGTTTACATAAAAAGAAATTGAGAGACATTCCAAATAAATCATTATCAAAGTTATCTGTTTTAGCAAACTTTAAACTTTTCAACTTATAACCCCACTCCTGGTGATTTCACGGATGCATCCATTCAACTTTCATACCAACAATGGGGAAGTGGTGATTGTTGCCTTAGCTTACATATGCCGAGGGGGGGGGGGCAGGATTTTTTTTTATAGGAAAGAAATTATACTCTCATAAAACATCTGGTTTGTGGTAATATACTGTATATTAATCCAAATAGAGATATACAAAATAGTTGAACACTTCAGATTCCAAGAACTGTTCTTCAACCAGGATGTGTAAAAAACTGTTTCCATCAGATATGCTGATTGGATGTCAAGAAGCCATAAGTCCTATCAGTATTGCAAGAGTATTTAATTAATATTATCTCTTCCTGCCAGCATGAGATTTTGACCTGTAAAGCAACCTACTGGTTCAAACCCTTAGGAGCATCATGGAAGTTCTGCTAATTAAAAGTGCCCTCCTGCTGCCTAAGAATGAAAATACAGCGAGATAGTTAAATAGTAGGATGAAACTGTTTTGCTTATTTGTCCTTTAAATATGTGTTTAACATGGTTTTCATTTAACTTTGAGAGAAAATAATTCCATAATTCCTGTAATTCTTCAATACTAAACCTTGTTTCCCATTTGTTATATTTCAAAAGAGACAATTTGTTTTTTATAGTGTTTCTAAAATTTCCCTTTATTAAATTTGAAATCTGGTCTCCAACATTAAATCTATTATTTTATTTTATTGAGGTAATGTGCAGCTATCGAATCTCATCAGGCTCAAGGTTGACTCAGCCTTCCAGCCTTCCGAGGTGGGTAAAAAACTGTTGGGGGCAATATGCTGACTCAGTAAACCACTTAGAAAGGGCTGTAAAGCACTACATAAGTCTAAGGGCTGTAAAGCGGTATATAAGTCTAAGTGCTATTGCTATTGATGAAATTCCTATGTGTTTAAAGTGTCCTGTTGAATTTTCTGTTTTGTAAAACTTTTTCTTAATTTCCATATTAAATGACACAAAGGCAAGTTGAAAACTATTCCTTTTAAAAGATGAATTATTAGGAAAAAATAGTTAATAATTCTGCAATTACTATGCTGAAATAGTTTAATGGTAGTTTGAATCTAAATCCGATACTTATTTGTGGGAGCCTAGCCTGGGTACCAGTAAGATGTACTGTCTTTCTTTAACTTCCAGAATTCCGTAATTAGTATAATTACTGGGACTTTTGGGTCCGTCTCAAGACCATAGTAAAAGATTGTTGTACATTGCCAGTGAAAGGTATTGAGCCATGGGAATTGAGGGTCTCAGCTGAGTCACATATGGTGTGTTTGGGTTGATGGATAGATGAATGCATGGATGGATTGTAAGTTTAAAAGTGAATAAGATGAATGCGTCTGAGAATATTTGTGTGAGAAGAGCGACTTTGTAAGCGTGGTTTCACTAACATAGTGATATAGTTTCACTTAAATTGGCAAAGGGTTAGACTGTTATTTGCTGCTGGTTAATAATTAACAAATGTTATTCAATATAATATTTTATTCAATATAATAACAATATAATTATAAAATATATAATGAAAAAATACAAAAAGTATTTTTATGATTTTTTTTTCTCAGTGTATATTTAACTAGTAGCAGATATACCTCTTATAATGCTAACTACATTTTTTTTGTTATATGCCTATTCGCTAGAGCTCTCTGGGTACTTCAAAGAAAGCAGGTAAAACCATGGAAGACAAGAACAAGGGAATATAACGTAAGTAATAAAGACACAAAACTAAGCTGGTTAAATCAGCACAGGAGTCTAGTAGTAAAGTAAATTTAGATTGTTTCCTAGACGTAATAAAGCTATACTTAAGTATTTTGGATTCAAAATGTGAAGAATTTGATGCGTGGGGAAAATGAAGGATAATTGAAAATTGAAGCTGACCGAGGTCAAGGTGGCCAGATGCTGTCACTGGTGACACAAGCAGGAGCTTACAAGAACTCATTTACAACAGTAAGTCATAGCAAAATGATGTCTACGAAGAGATGGAAATGACTGAACAATTGCACAGCAAGAAACCTTGATTTATAACTTTAAAGTGTAGTTCTTGTGATGTCATTGTAACTTCCACAGTCATCCCTAAGGAGCCTTCTCTGGGCTTGCAAAAGAGCGTTTCTCAATATAAGGAGCCACCTGCTTCCCCAGCATTACACATCTGTTGAGTATGTGAAAGTGCAACATCATCCTCAGG